CTAATGACCTGACTTAGAAGACATATGGTATGACATGACAAAAATCCACAGTTAGTTTTTTCCTCCAATACAAAGTTTGACCCTCTGAAAGTCTGAATGCAGGAGTGTTGCATCGCCAGTGTGCAAGTTGCCTAAATAAAGTTTACCTTCATCTACCCATTTTGACCTTTTATAGATGACAAACAGTAAATCCTAGTGATAACAATGAAAATGAGAAAACAAATTAAAAAAGGACTGATACATAGATAGATGTAAAACGTCAGTCAGATCACTATGCTGTTACCTCATCACAAAATGTCACAAAGTGTAAATATCATTACCTGTAGTCTACTCAACTGGCTGTCAGAGACGGCAAAAGTACTTGATTTCAGTACTTAGTAAAAGTACTGATACTGCAATAAAACAAAAGTACAAAAGTACTTCATCATGAATGTACCCGAGTAAAAAAGTAAAAAAGTGAAAACAGTCAATGATGTCATTTGACCTAAAAATGTAATTCAGTGAAATATTGGCTTTGGGGCAGCTTTGGCTTTTTAAATACATTTTATAAAACACAAATAGAAGCATTTCAATGCAGCTGCATCACTGAATGAGAGAACTGGATAGTTAGGTTATCAGCTGTTTGAGCATACGAAGGTTTGACCTCTGATTCATGGGGACTAAAAACGCTAAAGCAAAGGCAGTTTTCATTTACACCTAACTTCACAGCAGATCAGGGTGAACAAATCAGGGAAAAAACTGAAAACAAAAACGTGTGTGTGATCTAAAAAGTAAGTTTCCCCTTTTTAAAATGTAAAAAGTAGAAAGTACATATACTTGTGTTTCAAAGTAGTGAGTAACAGTAAAAATTCACCAGAAAGATAAACAGATTTTTTAGGTATCTTTACTTAAGTAGTGGAACTGAGTAAAAGTACTTGGTACGTGACACCTCTACTGGCTGTGCACAGCCTGGCCATCTCATTTACACAACAATGGTGTCGTTCACACCTGAGTTAAGATGCTAGCTCAAAACTAATCCGGCCACTTGGCTGCTCTTTGGGCATGGAAGGTAGGAAAGCCAAATGGCTGGGCTTTGGGACTTCTAGTGTTAATCAGCAGAAAGATGCCACCTGCTGGACAATGGCAGAACTTCATGTTTTATGATGAAATACTCAGAAATATCCTGATTTGTGAAGATAAATGTGTTTTAGAAGTTGCTTCATGGAGCAGTATTTTGTGAACCTTTGCTCAATATTTAGTGAATTATTGGGATTCTTATGAAAAGCCTGAATGCTGGAACCTGATCACAGTCAGCTTCAATACACCTCCAGAACCGGAAGTTGTTGCTATAGAAACAGGCTGCAAGGAAAAAAAACATCTAAAATTCAACATTTACTTTAGCTTCATGGTTTATTTCTATAAAATGTGACAAATCTGTAAAAACAAAGAGGAATATAACTAAGATCATAAACATCAGCATGAATAAAGACAAACAGAAATCCCTTTATGACGACACGTCCTGGTCGTGCTGTGTCCCGCTCAGACTGAAGTTCAGCTGCTGAAGGTCATTTCAGTGAAAAATGTTTATCTGACCGCCGAATGAAACAAATTCTGTCAAAGTACAAAACCGCAGCAGCTACAGAAAAGTACAGAAATATCAAATGATTCACCGTACGTCACTTCACAGCAATCAGATAACTTTGAAGTAGAAGAGCAAAGTATTGATGCCGCAGAACATGAACAGAAGCCTGATGGATGCTGGAGAACATCCTCTGGTCAGATGGAGATCAATGTGTTGGGCTCACATGGAGTCCAGATGTTTGGTGTGA